GTTTGTCACCCTATCCTATAAAAAAAATATTATACTACATTATTTAATAGTTTGTTAATATATTATAAAATATTCTTTATTCAAAAAAACTGTTGGGACAGAGGTATTTTCTGAAACAGTGTTAAATTAAACATAAGAATGACTTTAAAAAATAAATTTCTATTTCTCCTTTCGAAGTCTGTTATATAAATATACACATTACGAGTATAATAAGTAAGTGTGTTCGATCATTCGAACAAAATATATGCTATTTGGTATTAAACAAAAAATTTAATTATAGCCATCATTCAATAAACCGTCGATGGGGGAGTTAAATGAGTTGAAGAACCACGCAACTTAGGTCTTATTATGGAATTCAATACCAGTTACGTAATTATTTGTATTGTTCAAAGACAGATATATTGGGTCACCAGTTTTCTTGCAGATCGATGCGTTAAGGCCATAGTTGATTATGCATGCTCCGGCTTCATGCGTGTGAATACTGGGGTTCCACAAGGCTACATGCCGTCGCCTACCCTATACCTTCTGCATATCAATAATATGTTGCATACTAGTAACATTATTTATTATGCAGACGACAGCCCTGGCGATGCTTTCTACACTGGCCGTGCTTATATTTCTCGGGAACACATCATCAAGTGCCGGAACAAACTTGTGTCTAAAGTCGAGTCCTTGTTAAACAAAGTCTCTGACTGGGGTTATTAAATCTAGTCCAGTTTTACCCTCAGAAGACACAGGCTTGCGCGCTTACCGCTAAAAAGAGCCCATTTGTCGAATTTCTTCAATTTCCTCTCGTTGCCTCAGCTAGCATCGGAATCCTTGGCGTCGTTTCGAGATACGTAGATTTCCATGTTACTGAGAAGGGAAGGCTAAACTGGCATCTAAAAAACTTGGTGTGAGCGAGACTGTATTTTATGCCGACCCATCGCTTAACAACTTTACTACAAAGGGCCAATTTGGCCTCATATTATGGAATACTGTTCTCGTCTCTGGGCTGGGGCACCACTTGACCATATTCTAAGGAGAGAGATTCGATAGAAAGAACAGAATCGATAAAGAGATCAGAAAGAATTTATTTTAACTTCCCGCTGTGAAAATTAATAATTTTCAAAAGTCTTTAAGTCAGAACGGGTCGTACGAGGATGATCAAAGTCACTTAGCGTGCGATGGAAAGGACCGAACAGGACAGAAGACCGGCCTAGCCTTAGCCGGTCTTAGAACTCGATAAACTGACAACCGATGGGGAAGAAAGGTTCTCGTGTGGCAGCCTCGTACAGGCAAGCACAGTGTTGGGTGACCCGCCACTATGTAAAGCTACCATCTGATGAAACATTCAGGCTGTGGATGGATACAGGTGGATCAGGACCATCCCATGTGGCAATCTATGGGGAGGGAGGCCTTCAGCAGTGAATTTGTGTAGCTCTTTAGTTGTAGTAAGGATACCTTTGTCAGAAGTTGACCACAGGCGATAGATTTTAGGGTCACTAATGGGAATGAAAGTCAGTCCAAGATTTATCCTTGAACTAGCGATCCGCCCCGGCTTCGCACGATTGATTTCTGGATCTTGATAACAACGCCAGCTACCGGGTCCAATTGTGAATCTGAAGAATTCTCCAGGCAGTTAGAAGGAGGTCAGTCACACACACGGACAGAAGAATTATATAATATTATGCATGTATTTTACATATAAACCTTCCCCTTGAATCATTCTGTCTATTGATGAAAACCGCATCAAAATACGCTGCGTAGTTTCTAAGCGTACAGATACAGGCGGGAAGCGATATTGTTTTTTACTACTTGAATGTACAGATCATAGAAATATTATCTTTTATTATATCTATGGTCTTTTATTATATCTAGATAGAGATAATGCAAGTAAATTTTCAAAAAATCTGTAAAAATTATGTGTTAATGAATACATTTGTTTCAAATATTACGCAGATGGAGAAGTACTTTAAGTTCTCAAAATAGAGATAACCTACAGGCACTTGTAATGAAAACTATTAATTTTAAGTTACTTTGCAAATTGTGGGGAGGAGGGGCATTTTTGTCTATAGCGGCTCCGGGCAGCATCTACCCATGACATATTGTTTATAAAAATAACAGCTTTCTTGCAGCTATATTATAGTTTTAGTACAGACACGCTCTCACAAAATACCAGGGGTTTTCGGTATCGTGAGTGTAGAAAACCTGAGGACCCTTTTACTGGAAACGAGACATTTCGTTTCGAGTACTGTACAGCACCACAGCACCCATGTTCGCAGAAAGAGGGGAGGGGGGGGGGTTCTATTAAAGTGTACACTTTCGATATCCGGACGGTCGGTTTTAGCGAAATTTGGTGCAACTAATTAGGACGCATGATTCCTTTATTTTTGCAATTTTTGATATTTTACAACAAATTTATATTTATTAATTTAGTATTACAGTGTGTTTTATCCATCTCACTCATTGTTGTTTTAATTAACCGACTTCAAAAAGGAGGAGATTCTCAATTCGAGTGTTTTTTTATATGTATGTTACGCGATATCTTCAACAGATTGTGAACTAATATTTTGATGATTATTTTTATATTAAATAGGTCATGGTGGTTCAAGGGTGGTCACATATAAAGAAGAAAAAACTGCACCCCTAAGGGTAGCAAATCAATATCTTCTTTTTAGCAATTTGAAGTCGGTTTTTACATTTTGTTAGAATTTACAATAATACATTTTTTTAAATCACTTTACATACTACTAAGTATTAATTTCGGCAAACCTTGGAAGCAATATTAATGGAAGCGCTGAACCCATGACCCCCGACTGCACCCTGACTTTAGCGATCATATTTTATTATTAATTAATTGAACACGTAATATTTATTTATTTCTTTATTATTTATTGTAACACAATGGGCGCACTTAATGCCTGTCGGCATTCTCTGTGTGTGTGTGTGTGTGTGTGTGTGTGTGTGTGTGTGTGTGTGTGTGTGTGTGTGTTTATGTTTGTGTATAATATATATATTCATATATTCAATCAATACTCATTAATTCAATACTCGCTCGCATAAACTTGATCGTCCGAACTTGTTCGGGGCCGGCTGAAAATTAGCGCTGCAAGCTTGCGGCTTATGCTGAGACGGTCCCTTCCACCACTTCATTATTGCACACGATTTATTTTTTGTATTAATGTGAATATCAGCTATCTGCCAGTGAAAGTCCCGTCAAAATCGGTCCAGCCGTTTCGGAGATTAGCCGGAACAAACAGACAGACAGACAGACAAAAATTTTTTAAATTGTATTTTAGTTATAAGTACCGTATTTACTTTCATATGCATTTAGTAAAAACCTGTAATTTTGACATTACAGACAGACACTTATTTATTTGTATAGATTATAATTTGTTATGTGTGTAGAAGATGTAAGTGTTGGAATAAATGTCTTCATGTCTTTACGTCTTTTACTCCATATTTTTGAATTATAAACTGAATTATTTAGAATATCAGCTAAATAACGGATTTGTTGGCCGCCCGGAGCGAGTGTCGTCATTGCAGGCGGTTTTGCCGCGTTTAAATTCAGCGCACCAGTTTGCCACTGTAGAATAAGACGGAACATTGTCTGCCAAAGTAGACTGCAGTTCTTCAAAAACATTTTTGTAGAAAGGTTTTTCAAGCAGAAATATATAATAACCGCATGAAGTTCAAGTTTCTCCATTTTACATACGAATCAAATTCCCGCCAAATGTGGAATTTGAAAAAAAATTAGGTATAGTTTTTAATTTAGTTTTTTTTAGTCTTGGCTGTATTTTTTATTTTATAGAATAAGGGTGACAAACAAGCACACAGTCTACCTGATGGTAACTGGTTGCTGTGGCCCATAGACATCTACATCTATCCTCGTTTGCGATTCAAAATGCAGATACGTTGTCACCCGTGAGGACTAAGATGGAGTGCCCCGTTTCCAGTAAAAAGGGTATCCGGTTCTTTACACTCACCATACGAAACACAGCAGCATTAAGCTGCTATTTTATGCTGGTATTCTATGAGAGCCTGGTCCTTCTTCGGTCGAGTCGACCCATTCGTGCTACAACTATACTATTAATATAGCTGCAGCATGGCTCTACCACGTATAAAAATTACTAACGAATTTAAGATAAATAATTAAAAATTAAAAATTTTGTACAGCCGACTTCAATATAAGTTATTTAAGAATAACTTAAAAACTATTGGTCTGACCTTGATCAAATTCATATGGGACCACACGAGAAGTACCAGCTTTCAAATAAAAAAAGAATCATCGAAATCGGTTCACCCAGAAAAAAGTTCTGAGGTAACACACATAAAAAAAAACGAAAAAAAAAACATACAGTCGAATTGAGTACCGGCTCCTTTTTGGAAGTCGGCAGAAAAAAAATAGAACGCATTTCCATAACTCATTGATAAGTTTATCGCGTTCATATATTTCTTTAAATTTCCAACGTTTCTAGTAGCTCCAATGGTCCCTGAAAGGCTTCAAGATCAAATAACATTATTTATGTGAGCAATTCTTGTTTAAAATATGTTCATTTATCAATTTATTACCTACAACCAATCAAAAGGGGTCATCTCTGGGGTTATTTACATGCTAATGGGTTAATCTTCGGAATGGCTGAAATTATTATGAATTATGATGAAATCTTACGAACAGACAGAGAACAACGTCAGGAGGGATCTGAGCTATATTTTGCACAATCCCAGATATTTTCCATTTTAAGCCAGGGCGGGTCGCTAGTATAATATACAAATTAATATATTATTAGTACTTATAACTACTGAAGTATGAATATACTACGATATATCGCGATCAATGTATAACTGGCTTTATAAGCCATAACGCGTTTCATTGTAAAAAAAAGTACTACGATATATCGCGATTGATGTATAACTGGCTTTATAAACACTAACGCGTTTCATTGAAAAAAAAAGCGGTGTTTTGTTGAGTAAACTCAGCATGTATTTATATACAGGTCTATCAAGCGTTCAGAAGCAGTTGGTGTCATAGTGTTGTTGCTACATCTCCTGCTAAATTTTTCCTGGACTTTTAATAATTAAACGTGAGTATTTTTTCTAAACAAAGACTCATTTACATATGCTACGATTTTATTTTTGCTTTTTCAATTGTACACATTTTACTTTAAATCAGGGTTGACTTATTTAAATCACAATTTAAATCGCTTGATTTTGATTAAAAAATTAATTGATTTAAATCAACATGTATAAATTAACGTAATAGCCAGAAAATGAAATAAAACTCTACGTGGTAGAGCCATGCTGCAGCTATATTAATAGTATAGTTGTAGCACGAATGGGTCGGCTCGACCGGGGAAGGACCACGCTCTCACAGAATACTAGCGTAAAATAGCAGCTTGACACTGCTGCGTTTCGTATGGTGAGTGTAGAGAACCGGAGACCCGTTTTACTGGAAAAGAGGCATTCCATCTTAGTCCTCACGGTAGACAACGTATCTGCATTTTGATTCGCAAACGAGGATAGATGTAGATGTCTATTGGCCACAGCAACCACTTACCATCAGGTGGACTGTGTGCTCGTTTGTCACCCTATTCTATAATACTGGCTTAAAATAAATAAAATATTTTATTGTTTTATTTTATTCTTATTATTCTACTACAATTGTCTCATAAACTTTTGAAAATCAACAAAGGCTGTATCGATGATGTCTGTTAGTCTCATAAACTAGTAAAATCAATCAAAACATTTTTGTAGAAATTCACACTGAAGTTATGAACTGTAATTAATACAGTATTAATTATTTTACTCTTAATCAGTCTCATAAATATGTATTCATAAACTTTTCATAGTATTTGTTAAAAAGTGTTACCAACTCGTGAATTTCAAAATATACAAAAAAAAAATAAAAAAAATCAATAATATCAAAAAAAAAACATGTTTTGTTTTTAAATAAACCAGTATGATTTGATTAAAATTAAAAAAAAAAAACATCATGATTTTTTCCATCCCTGCTTTAAATCGGGTGACACTTGATGAGATTGCATTATAATTTAAAATGTAATAAATTAGTAATAAAAAATATTATTACATTAATATTTAATGCAATACTTATTAAAATCAATCGCGTCTTATTTTTTAAATAAACAATTACTTCCAAATTCTAACTATGATATCTAATTATAATTAATTGAACAAACCTAGGCTCATGTAAAGATTTGAAGTTTTTATTAGAGATACATTTTTTTTCTTGGTCTAGGCCTAAATATATTACATTGTTTCGACTTAGGTATAATGTTTAATTCACTTTAAGTTTTTACTTGGTGGTAAAGCCTCCGTTTCTGATAAGGAGTCCCTTTGAATAGGTACCACCCTCTAACCTAACAATTTTTTTCTTCGTACTTTTCTTCCTCAATCTTATTCATCCTCCTTCATCTAATAATTTTTTAGATACAGTTTTACGCTTGTGGATATCCTTTTTTATACGTATACGCTATGCTCAATTCGTTTTTAGGGTTCCGTACCTGAAGAGTAACCAACGGGACCCTTAGTAATAGGCTCCCGTTGGCCTCCACTGGTCGTCTGTATGTCAGCGGGCTGTATCTCATGATCCGTAGTAGGTAGACAGTTGAAATTTTCACAGAATTTGTATTTCTGTTGCCGCTATAACAAGAAATAATGAAAATAATCTTTACGTGGTAGAGCCATGCTGCAGCTATATTAGTAGTAAACTTGTGGCTCGAATAGGTCGGCTCGACCGGGGAAGGACCACGCTCTCACAGAATACCAACGTAAAATGGCAGCTTGGCACTGCTGTGTTTCGTATGATGAGTGTAGAGAACCGGAGACCCGTTTTACAGGAAAAGAGGCATTCTATGTTAGTCCTCACGACTGACAACGCATCTGCATTTTAATTCTTTATTGAGGATAAATGTAGATGTCTATGGGTCACAGCAACCACTTACCATCAGGTGGACTGTGTGCTCGTTTGTCACCCTATCCTATAAAAAAAATTTAAAGGGGGCTCCCTTACTGGAAACGTGTATCGGAACCCTATATGCGCGAATCCAACTCGCACTTGGCCGGTTATTCTCTTAAAAAACTACTTAAAACTTATTTAGTTGGAACTCTAATATATCCCATCATATTTCTAATCATCATCTTGTTTTTATTTTTATTCATTCTTTCTCAATTGTATAATTTATATATCTAGGCATTCAAAAGGGTTTTTGATCAGTCTTTCAGTGAGTTTAAAGTCAAATCACCCAGTAAAATAAAAATTTCATAGAAACTGTTACACCCTGTTTCACCCTGTAAGATATTTAATTTAACAAAATCCTATCTTAGAGGATGCATACGTCATTAAAGGCAACTACTGTTTAAATTTCAAATTTTTACGTCCGGCGCACAGCCCAAAGTGCGTAATAAATTAATACAATATTATTCATACACATTTTGAACCCTTGTTTCAAATCAAGTTAAGAGTAAATTTTTGGAAAAATGGGTATTATATCGTATTTATTCAAAATAATTTGCACTAGTTTTTAGTTATAAAAAATATAATTTTTCCATACAAATTTGAACAACTTCTAGTTACCCGTAATTGGTTGTTTTAAAACTCTCAATATCCGTATTCATGTATTTTATTTACAGAGTACTTTCAAATAAATTTCGAGCCAATCGCCCCTTAAAATTTAAAAAAAAAATTTTTCATACAATCCGTTTCATACCCTATTCCATACTTTTAGGGCTTGAATTTTGAAAATTCCATTCTTAGTGGATACATACCAGCGTACGTGGATGCTTACGTCATAAAAGGCAGTTATACTGTCCAAATTTCGGATTTATACGCCAAGCGGTTCGGGCTGTGCGTTAATAGATGCGTCACTCTGGACGTCCTCTTTTACATATATATACATATTATATACCTAGTCAGGTCATAAATTCTGTCACATGTTTAATATAAAATAATTGAAACAAGTTTATTCATTATGTAACCATTTATATACCAAAATGAACTTAACAAAACATGAATTCTTATGACACTAAAGTTTATTCAAAATGACCTCCGTGATTTTGAATACAGGCCTTCAATCTGCGCGGTCAGTCGTCTATCGCAGCACGAACGAGGTCCATGTCAATATCGGCGGCTGCCTTAATCAAGGATGTCTTGAGTGACTCCAAATTGGGATGAGGCTTTGAGCACGCCTTTTCCTCCAAGTGTCGCCATATCTTGTAATCTAACGGATTCAAATCTGAACTGGAGGAGGGCCAGTCTTCGTGCCGGATGAAGTCGATTTCACGCGCCGCCAGCCAGTCTTGTGTGCTCTTTGCTCTTTGAGCTGGCGCCGAATCTTGTTGGAATACCCAGTGCCTGTTATTGAACATGGTATGAGAAACAGGTTCCACAAGGTTCGTCAGGACTGTATTTTGATATACAACTGCATTCGTTTTTACACCTTTCTCACAAAAATGTACCTCTGTTAAGCCCCAACAAGAAACTCCCAACCATACTATGAGCGAGGATGGAAAATGACCTCCTTGAACACGCGGAATACGGTTACTCGCTTCTTCACTACTGTGTGCGTATACCTTATCATTTTGTTTGTTGTAGCTCTCTTCTACGGTAAAAATTTATTTATTCGAAAAAAGAATTTCCCGATATTTTTTCCCGCGTACCGCCTCAACAAAGCAAGGCATCTCTTCAGTTTCAGGTCCATTAGACGAGCATTTAAACGATGTCCTGTTTTTCTTCGATATGCCCGAAGCCCTAAGTCTTCATTTAACACCCTTTTCACCGTGGTTCTGCTTAACCCCATCTGAAGGGCCAACAGTTTCTGCTTACGTTTGGGATTTCTTTGAATTCGCACCTTCACAGCTTTTATCACTGCTGGAGTCCTAACAGATCGAGGGCGACCACTTCTTGACCTGTCATCTATACTAGAGTCTTCATTGTATCGTTTGATGGTACGATAAACGAATCTTTTGGTTATATTCAAATTTTTCAGTATTACAAAAATTTGAATTGGCGCGTAACCGCAACAATGCAACGCAATAACTGCTACACGGTTTTCTTTAAGCGTCCACTCGATATTTAAAAATGAGTAAAATTCTAAAAAGTATACAGTTTTATTTTCATGAACAATTCGAAATTCGAATTCAATAAACTTTTTTGTGGCCAGCATTCTAAAAGAAAAGTTTTTACTGTGTGACAATACTTATGACCTGACTACGTATATAACATGTCTGAGTCCTACTTCAGAAGCTATTAAGTAAAAACCGGCCAAGTGCGAGTCAGACTCGCACATTAAGGGTTCCGTACCATCGTAAAACACGTTTCTAGCAGGGCAGCCGCCATTCGTTTTTAATTTATTTTTATATTTATTATTATAGCGGCAACAGAAATACACATTCAGTGAAAATTTCAACTGTCTACTTATTACGGATCATGAGATACAGCCCGCTGACAGCGAAGGCTTAGTAATAGTGTCCCGTTGGCTACCCTTTGTGTACAGAACCTTAAAAATTAACTATTTCCGGCTTCTTCTTATTATGATGTTTTGAGTGATTTACAGAGACCACTTAAGGTCACTGCGCTACTGATGTGTTAAACTTCCTGATGTCCTATAGTTACTAAGAAACCTTCAACTTAAGAATTTTAATTTTTAATCCGATCCACGCAAAACGAGCATACAGTATTTTGTAGTCTTTTTAGGGTTCTGTATCCAAAGGATAACCAACGGGACTCTAGAAGTCCATTCGTCCGTCCGTCCGTCTGTCTGTCAGCGGGCTGTATCTCATGATCCGTAATAGGCAGACAGTTGAAATTTTCACGGAATGTGTATTTTTGATCTGTTACCGCTATTACAACGAATAATATAAATTAAAATAAATAAAAAATTGAAAGGGGCTCCCCTACTAGAAACGTGTATAGCGATGGTACAGAACCCTTTATGCTCGAGTCCGACTCGCACTTGGGCGGTTTTTTTAACTTATTATAAGCTAATACTTGACTACAATCCCAACTGAAGGTAAGTGGTCTTGAAGCCCTAGATGGTAAATCGCACTACCTTAGCGTAACAAAAGC